TCTAGTTTTCCTGTTTCAAGATTATAAACATACTTGTCTTGTACTTTTATAACAACAAATACTAACTATTTAAAATCGTCGAAAATAGATTTTAAGTATACATATTTAAATTGCAAATTCTTTACGTTAAGTTGTATTCATACCTGTTGGACACCTAATATCAGAGCCAGATCATCTGTGGGTTTCCAACGCCCTAGATCCTTTGTCGAAAGGTGACTCAATTGCCCTTTACGGCGGATTTTGCGGCCCATGCTGGCACCACCAGACACTTTGCTTGAAGCTCTGCGACGCTCTGCAGGCTGGTGAGCGGGAGGAGTAGGCACACTCGTCATTGGGATCTCCGAAACTTGACTCGTATACGATTGAGTACGCATTCTCTTGTCACCTTTCCCAAGTGAAGATCCGGGCAATCCACTATATTCCACCAATTCATCGTCAAATCGCCTTCGTTTTATTGATCTCGACGAACTGAAAATTTGTGTAAACCACGAGTATTATCAAATAACATTCAAACTGGATATTAAAATGAATTTTACAAATGTAGATAGGAGTACCTGCGTCTTTTATTATCGTCTGGCACGTTATTATATGGAGACCGAGTAGTGCTAGGGTATTCGTTACTATCGGATGCATTTGATGGCGTTGCAGGGAAATCCATTATTTACTTTTTGCACGTTAAACAATAAAAATAATAACAAATTACGAAATCACTTCGTTTTGACTTTTTTTAGTCAATTTGTCAAACAAAAAAACGTATAATGTCAATAATGTCAACTGTCATATCATATTTACCATAGAGTATTTATGAGTAGTGATGAGTAATCAGCGTACTACTCTAGCTTTAGTCGAATTTATGTTTAGTGTAGTAGTTAAAATTGAATAATTTTAATGAAAAATTAAATGTTTCCCGTTTGTAAATATTTTAGAACTAAAAATATATTTCTAGGAGCACGGTAGTACCGGCCATTCGAGAAAAAAAGGTTAGATATTTTCTTTCAAATTAAAATGTTGAAAATTTCTGGTAACATTATTTGTTAATGTCAAAAACAAAATATTTGAGGTTATGTGTGTTATGATTTGATGGATTTTCGTAAATAAAAGTATTTTCATTGGACTTCTTACAAAAATGGCACATATAATTCGAGCAATAGCGTTCAAACCACGAGATATATTGGCCAGATCATATAATAAAATCGTAATAACTGACGATGGATCGACGATAGTTGCACTTCATAAAGACCAAGAATTTCCATATGAATACTCAAGACCTCTACCAGAAGAAACAATTGCAGACAAGTCGATTTTACGAATGAATGATCCGCAAGAAATGTACAGAGTATTCAGGGACTTAAAGCCTGAGATAGCAAGGAAACAGCTATCTTCATTGACCCTAACTACAACACATAGGTGGTTCCCCAGAGCTAGAGACAAGAGAGCCAAGAAAACGGAAATGAACCGCCCCTATTTGTAGAATAATAAAGTACTATGTTAGTATAGGATATTGTAGAAACTACCTAATAAAAATGAACTGTTGAAATTATCATTATTTTTTAATTCTAGTTTCCTCCTCTATTTTTTAAACAAGTGAGTGGGGTAGGTACTTATTGGTTGTCTTTTAGAAAACTCAAATAGTATTACTTGTATACAATTCTTTTGTATAGTTGGAAGAGTCAAGTTCATGAAGACCTCGCTTACTAGAAAAATTAAAATATTACTACATTTCTAATAAACAATGCCTAATATTTTAAACTTAGTTGCAATTCAAACAAAATGAAAAAGATTGAAATCATCTATTGCAATATAATAACTATCATGGATTTGGTATCTTGGTAGATTATACAAGATATTATTGAGTTTTCTATTGTAATAATCTTGTGTCACTGGTGACCACTCTCCACTCACTCCATTATAGACCTTATGTCTGATGTTTAGAGACTACTTTTGAGCGAATATACCAAAAATAAAAATTACAAAAAAAAATCAGTTAGGTAGGTACTACCAGTTACCAACACAAGTCCATGACTACTGTAGATCGATTGACTCTTCGAGGCTGGAGCAGTGACCTTACAATATGCAGGTACCCACGCGTGAGATCCCCATACCACCTTGAATTGTACAGCACGCAATAGGTAAATATGGATGTGACGGGATGTAGATAGTAATATTTTACAGTTATTACGATTTAAAAAATAGCGGCAAATTTTTTTTGTAAGGCTTATAAAGATGGCCGCTTTTAAAAGGCTTTTATATTTTATTTTAATTAATAAAATGTTATTATTAATATAAATGGTACGTGCATACCTAAGCAGCTTAGGTTATGTGGTTTTAAAATCTTAAGATTATTATAGTACTGAATATAAAATGATTTTTAATATGTAAAATATTTGGAGGCACGGTAGCGGTCCCCGCCAAGACAAGCCAAAAATACTTTCTCTAGATAAAGTTCTCTAGTCACTTCTTAGTAGGTATTTTTTACATTTATCACATAAAATACTTTTTTAAATGTCTGTAGAATTTACGCCACGTTAACTGCTTTAAAGTTTTTATTACAATTTAATGTTCCAGAGTTTTTTCTAGTTCAACTTCGAAATGCTGTGAAGTGGAATAGAAATAGAAAGCTTTTACGAGTATTATTTATATATCATTTGTTATGAAACCATTCGCATGATTCATGGATAACGAGATATTCTCGTCGCACTTACGATTTGGTATTTCAGGGTCTTTCAACCAGTACCACCAATCATTCAATGTCAAATACCTGGAGTACAAGTACGTACTGACCCTGACCGGCGTTGGTATGGAATCAGAGGGTAGGAATGTCTGGCACTGGCACCGACACATTTCGACCGAGCGCCACATTTAAAGCACGAAACAATTAAGAGAACTGAACAAAACCTTTAAATAAATAACTTTATTCTTGATAAATAATTTGTATATATTAATTTTACAATTTAATAAATTAATGTTGCTATCAATGCAATATAGCCTAGTGTTTATTTACTTTTAACTGTTTATTATATATTTAACAGGTACACAATTAATTGTTAATAGTTTTAATATTATACATGCAATTATTGTTAATCTAAGTACCTATATTACATTTTGATTATTCATTATATTGCAAAGTAACAATTCATAAACAGTACATGATTTTAATTTAAAGGACAACATGTTTCATCTATAAATTTGTACCCTAGCAAGGCTCATAAGCCATAATAAATCGATTAACAACAGCTTATCTAGTAAATAGAACTATAATCTGTAGGTACTATTTTCTCAAACTACAATAATTTCTCTTTCTAAACAAAAAATATTCCTTCACATTCAATATCACAATGATTGCTTCCTTTGGTGCTCTTTACATCTAAATATTGCACTTATAACACCGACTAGTTCATCATCAGTCACGAACCACGCCTTACTCCCAACTACTTGTCTCTTAGTAAACCATTGCAACTGGAAATAAGTTGTTAGCTAATCAACTGCGCTAATTAGTCTCAATAAAATACATTTTAATAAATATAATTATAGAAAGTATTATAAAAATATGTCATCTGATTTATTGCTCTATGTGATGAGATGTAAGATTCAAAATAGAATTAAATAGTGACACATATGTGCAGCCAAATGTTACGTTTGTTGGCAACTAGTGCGCGGCGACGGACAATGAGTGCTCACTCTGTGTAACACCTGCCCTCGCGGCAATGACAAACATGCTAAACTACCTACTATCAGTTAGCCATCACTCAAGTGCCATAATTGCCAGTCTTGAAGAAAAACTTAATATTAATAAAAAATATATTCTCGGGAATTATTATTGCATACGACGATGTCATCTCATGACCATAAGGCTAGGCAATTGTACTATAGTCAGATACCAATAGTTGCTATGCTATATAGAAGCTTCAACATCTTAACAACTGGACATTAGTCTTATTCTAGTATATGTTACGATAAAAGAATTAAAAATTATATCTTCAGTTCTACAAAATAACAGCCATATATATCTATCAATACAAAACAAAATGGCACACGAGATTACAGATACAGTTTATTATTAAAAATATAAATTCTATGTGAAATATTAACATAAGTGTATCAAAACGAAAACATGAAGATACATTCAATGTAAAATATTAAAAAAAATATGACTGACCTTTGGATTTAGCAATAAATTTAACGTGAAACGCTCCTAAGAAGGTATCAATAATTCGAATGGGCCGAACTCTCATAAACATCTACTTTAATATTTTATATATAATTTTTAAGTTTATTTTTGTAGTATAATAATATTGAGTAAGATCAAATAACAGTCAAAATATGTACAGAATATGACTATCGATTTTGAATTTTAAACTCTAAAAATAAGGTTCAAAATATAATATTGTAAAAGATTTCAACAATTACTCTTCAAGATATAGAGCTCGGAGCTCACAAACAAAACCATTGCCCGCTTGATGTATATATTTGGCGACGTGCGGGCACAAACTCTCCAGAATACACAAATAACACTAGGCCAAAAAATATCCATATACAGGTGATTCACGGCAACGTCACATGGATTGCAGTTTATATTGTTATTGAAAATAAAATGAAGTGTCCTTAGGTAAAATAGTCTATTTAAATTGTACATATATGTTCACGGTATGTCCTCACTATGTGGTGTTGCCGTGGGACACCCTGTATAACTGTATGTACTATATTATAAAAAGTTACTCTAAATTAAGTGTAAATCTTGTAAATGTCACGAGTGTTAGTCTAAGTACTCTTCATTTCATCATTAACGAATTTGGAAACAATTTTTGAAGTGTTGCAGAGTTATTTGTATCTTATGTATAGGTACAAACGCTTGCAATTCAGTCCCAATAAAATATTAAACTTTAAGATCGTTCTTAGTAATGGTAGAGGTAAGTTCGGTCGAGACTGCGTACTCGTCGCCGTCTATCTGCATCGTCTAATGAGAAATTGAAGAGTGATTGCAGAGACCGGTTTCGGTAGGGTCAGCGGATCCGGTTGAGGCGCAGTTCCCTGTCCAGTTGTTGAAGTTGGCGGATGAAGCCCTCGTTAGGGTGGATGTCACGGCGACAACGCACAGTTCCCAAAGCTTCAGCCAAAGACATTCCGCGTTTGATCATGAGGAAGGCTAACGCGCATGTGGCAGATCGAGACACCCCCATAAAGCAGTGGACTAAGACGCGCCCTAAAAGAAAATTTTCATGGTCAGAATTCGCTAAAAGCAAAAATGTGAAAAGACACTTAACTGTAACATAGTATCATGGTGTTGAAACATACCTCCGCTAGAAATCCCTTCATCAATGAAGTTAGCAGCTATATGGAAATATCTTGAAATATCAGTTGATGGCAGATCCATTAGCTGAAAACCTTTGTACCGAAGTCCGGGGCAGTCGCGGTAATAGAGGTGGTCGGTGTCCACCTGGGTGTAACGTTTGCCCTCAGCGGTGTTAAGGACATAGTTAATGCCCATACGCCTCAAGAACGCTTTGTCCTTGGCAGCAACACTAAATAGAAAATAAGTACCATGAGAAAATTGTTTGCGTAAACGTTTCAATGTGACGTATATCGAACTATTTAAAAGTAAAATAACACCTATATTATAAACGACGTTACATAGGTAGATGTAAGAGGATATTAATACTTACGCGTCACCAACATACAGGCCCGGATAAACTTCATTTACGTCCGGAGTGGGATTGTATGATATATCCGCGAATGGACGGGAGCGGAACGACGACAGTGAACTCAGCACGGAAGACGGCGACGAACCGAAACTCTGAAAGGGACGCACTATACATAAACACTGACCCATTATTTTATTTTATATTACAATTCACAAAATCACAAAACAGTGTGTTAATCTCTAGAACACGAAAAGTTAGTATGAACTTAGATGCTTGAACAGATAATGTACAGTAAACATACATTAGTGAATACGTAATTACACTGCAAATATTGATAAACAACTGCAATAATTAGCATTTAGTGTCACTGTGTGAGATAAGGATGAAAGTATTCATACATTATATGCACACATTTTAAAGTGTATTACTTCTTATTATACAGTAATATATAGTTGTATATATATAATACTGTGACATAATTGTATTTTTCATATTCTATATATATTTTACCTGCCACTGTATTTTATTACTATACTGGCAATGGTCGATAAGATAACTATTACTTATTTACTAATCATTTGGTAGTATTTAAATTTGTTGATAGTATAATTAATTTGCTCTTTCGTACACATAAACTGTTCCTTAATCATATTTAGGTGAAAACAACAACAACATATTATCTAATTCTAATAAAATTGATTTAATATAAAACTTGCAGTAAATCAAAGCCAAGCATGCGAGCCTGTTTCTACACACCCACATAAATTCCAATGAAATCAAATATTTCTATGGAACTTGTATCCACACCGAGGATATAAGATTTATTTTTCTTAAGTAGGTACAATAATAATTAAGTCCAGTGGTGGGCAGACTGTGGTCAGTGACAGTGAGTCACATTAAAAATTTAAGTTTGGCATACGAAGAATCCTTTAAAATGAAAATAGACCTATAATATCACTTGCAATCATAATATTTTAACGGTGCAACAATATAAAGTAAAATAATTATTATGATGGAAGTAGATTAACTAGCTGAAAAGTTAAATATATTGTAATTTATTTTCTCACTCGACATGGACCTCCATCTGAAATCTCTTTACGTTTTGCAGAAACTTTGCCCACCGCTGACTTAATAAATAAAAATTAGCAAAAAAAACAGTTATAATTGAATGATCAAAGCAAAAACATTAATTCAACTTAATGACACTCAAGAGTATATTCATTGCAAAAATAAATAACATCAATTTCATTGAAATTTTACTAAGACCTTTACCATATTTTGTCTGTGTAGTTGGATAAAAACAAGCACAGGCCAACTGTGTGATTTATGCACGGGTCACACGAACATAGGCCGATGATAAATACCATTAGGGTCCTTATGTAGGATCCTACACGTTGCTCTTTAGCTGCGCAGTATGAATGAGTTCTTGGAAATAGTGAGTACTGCCAATAACATAACATTGGTTACTATGACATTATTATGCTAAAAATATTATTTATATTATTTAAAGCAGAGTGAGGAATATATGATTGTAACAGAAACATTAATAAGCATCTGTGATGTGTGTTAGATGTATAGCAAGTAACAATAACAGCGAGTCAGAATTTCTAAACTATAAAAAAATTCTGCTAAATTCCATGGTCATTCTGTTTTCAACATATTGTGTAACAGGAATAGAATGAGTAGGCAGACATTTTGACCTTGGTATTTTTTAAACAAAAGAATTATATTACTTGTATTCTTTTTAACAGAAATAAAAATATGGTGGTTTGTAATTTGTCAGCATTTATTTCCTTTTTTTTATTCTATTGTGGTCTTGACTTGATAAATAAATAAAAGTACTAGTACTATTTTTATAGTGCAAAAAGTTTCAATAAAAAATTATGACAAAATTACCTATTTAAATAAGCTAACATTACAAGCAATTTTAATTTGAGAAGCCAAATTTATTTTATCACAAAAAACTATAAAAAGTCTCTCCATTCTTAATAAAAAAAATCAAAACCAAAGTACTTAATTATGTTTCAAAAGTAATCAGAACACAGTAAATATTTTTAAAATATTATTCTGCAACAGATAAAAGTGCAAAACAATATAATCTGTCCTTGGTATAAATCTCTCTTACTCAATTTAACTACCAATAAGATTTATGTTCTATATATAGATTTAAAAAAACTGTATTCGGATAATTTTGAACATGTCAGTGTACATACATCGCAATAAGTGACTTGTCGTCGGGAATACCGGGGGTATAAAAGCTGTGGAAAAATTAATATTCTAGCTTACTCTCACTTTCATCACGAAAGTAAATAAAAAACATACTATAATTATTTAAATAAGGAACGAAGTAAAATAAGATTATAACAAGGTACAATAAGAAAATTGATATCCCATAGTAAGTATGTATAGCCCACAGCAACCTTGAATCTGTGACTAAACGGGTAAAAATAGAACTGGGTTAAAATATTTACGCTATAATCTATTTTTAGTACCATGGGAAAATATGTATTTCAATGACTGGTTATATTACTATTGCAATAATTGAGAACAATTACGTTTTCTGATAAATAAATTTAAAAAATCTTATCTTTATTGCGACGTAGTTTTATTAAAATTCTACTCACCGTATCCCTGTAACTCATGTTGAATATTTTTAATGCTTAGTTAAAAGTAAGTAGATTACAGTTTAAGGTAAAAATTACTAGATATTTATTTAATTTTTCTTCCGAGTTGAAAACACTGCACTCGCAAAATATCGAAATTTAACAACTGTGCGCCATGACAAAACTAGTGTAGTACCCACACTTACTATTCTAGGCATTAGCTGCAATAGTCGAGTCGTGTGCCACAAGATATCACTTATTACTAATGCATGTATGCTGATATGCTGTATCCAAATGCATTATTAATCAATGCTACATTTATTTAATTTTAATTAAAATGTAATGCAGTCACTAATCACTATGTACTTCCTATATCTCGTTTTATTAAATGGCAAAAAGACTAGGTTCTGTTTAAAAAAATACAGTCTCTGATTTTACTGCTCTATTGTGCTCTATGCACTATGCTCAAGCTGGCACATAGTGATGAGATCTGGTTTGATAACGTGAACTAATTTTTTATCTAACTCGAATGAAAAGGATCGATTAACAACATCTATTGTAAATGTTAAGATTGTGTTTTTCCCAAAGATATCTACGCATAGCCGTGTGACAGAGTAGACTAAGCCGTAGGCCAAGTTTAACTCATAAGTATAAACTAACTCGCCGGAATTGTAATAATTTTATTGATATTAATCATTATTAGTTTGTTCCATTATTTTATTAATTCAATAGACATAAATAAAATTAATATTAACTATTACTAAATGAAAATATATACAACTTAAAATATAAATAAATTATGAACTAAAATATTTACACCTTAAAAAAGAAATAATAATAAAAAAAATAAGGCATCAAAAAAACAAATTTTCCTCATAGTTATCGTGAGGTAGGATGCCCAAAAGACTGGCAGCATTGCCACGTTGAATGGCAATGCTTAACCTTTGTCCAAGATAGAAGCCAGCCCTTCGATCACCAGAAGTGTCAACCATCCTCCTTACAATATCTTTGAAAAGAAGATGTACACTTGGGCCCCACGGCCCTAAAGTTTTAACCCCAAACGGTTCGAAACCATAATTGCCAATCAGGCTATCATACTTTCGCCGTTTGAGGTTCTCGGCAGCAGCAGCAGCATCACCGGCTCGACACGCTGAGTTTGGAAGATAGGATGGCGCCAGAGTATCAACGCAAGTGGCGTCCCATACTAAAGGCCTACCCATCTTCCAAGGGAATATTGACATACCGTCGGGTCTCTTGTCATCGTTGCGTACCAAGTCATTAGGTTCTAAAGTAGCTGGCACGCTAACGGAGACAAGAGCTCGACGAATTATATTATGTCATTAATACTTGCGTGTTGAGCAAAACGACCCGTACTACGGCTACACGACAAGCCGTGGTGTCCAAGGCTGTTGGCATCTTCACCACAACGACAACGATGAGGTGAACAAAATGAAGCCCCAAGCCTTAAACAAATTGCAGCGCGGAATGTAGTGTCGTCCAACAAAGTACCTAAGTTGGACGAAGGCAAAGCAAGAAGCCATAACCCCGACTCCCACTCACCCACAGCCAAAAGGCGAGCTCGCTCTGCAATTGAACAGGCGGAGTTCAACAGATTTTCGCTCACTTTTCTGCAGAGCGGCTCGTCCCATTGTCGCTGGGAGAGTGATTTGATGGGGGTGTCCATATTTAGGCAAGCGATTTTCCAAGCTTTCACAGCTTCCACTAAACATGGTACATCAAAATTAACCAGTGATTGAGAAAAACATTTCCTGGATAATTCTTTAGAACCATTATACTGGAAATTTTACGGACGCCAAGCCCACCCATGCGGACAGGCAGAGTAGCTTGTGTCCAGACTCGGTCGTCGAGAGCCACATTCAAAATTAAGGACAAAGTTTGCCTAATGATTTAGTCAATTATTTCTAAAAGAAGGGGTGCTGACCAGAGGTGGGTCGAGCGCAGATAGTACATAAATTTGGGACCAAAACAACAAAATGAATAATAGTGTAGACCGAATGCATTCTAATGTGATAGTCTTTCTGAAACGACAGAAAAATTTTGAAATGTTTGTTCCATTATTATTTTAAATGTCTGTTATCGTGAAATTTCAATCGGCTTGTTGTAATCTTTAGAATATTGATATTTAAATATTCTAATTTTAAACTCTAATCGATTCTAGTTTTCAGTCATTTCATGTAATTATATCGAATCGATTCAAATCGATTGGTTACATTGATAATATGATATATGGTCACGTCCCTAGTTCGTATGTAACCGCGCCTTGTTTGCGTGCTAATTTTTCTAAATATTGAAAAATACTACTTTAAAATATAATGATTATTCTAGCGTTATAACATTTTTGGGGAATCCGGCTTAATATCCTGCGAAAATGGATGAAAAAGAAGAGTTGCATCTAACCTCTCAGGAGTTGCAAGTTTTGTCGGAACTTGACAGGTACGTAACTACATAATATTAAACAAGTTTTAATTTTCGATAAATTATAGTGGTTTCGTACATTTGCCTTGTATATTTGGTACAGAAATGATAAAAACACTGTAAAATAGATTGATAGAGAGTAAGTAACTTCGAAAAAAAAAAGAAAACAAACAGCAATGTCTGCTGTTTCTCAATAAGTTTTTTTCGACCTTTGTGCACCTTGGAGAGTTATTCTTCACTTTAATAATATCTGTAATGAATACTTAATTTATCTAATTAGCTTTCATTTAATTTTACCACTTATTTGACACTGTTTACCACTTAACATTGTAGTTGTAAAGAAAGTGGCACAAATTCATAATAGAAAATTTTGGTTTCAGTCGGCAGTTTGGTTTTCTTAAGTTACGTGGCACTGAACATGGCAGGACCCGAGCTCTTGTACTCAAGGCTGTCAAGTATCTTGAAGGGATGCTTGTACAAGTCAAGGTAGAGTATATTTTAGTAGCTTAATTACTTTTATTATAAAGCATTCTTCGCTAATCACTCACTTTTATTATGAGGAGTACAAAGAAAGTGTCAAAAACATTGATATCTAATAGGATTTCCTTTATGTTAAACCAATGTACTTTTAACAACCTGAAGACCATATCTTTGTCGGTTTGTTTTCTTTTCAGTAGATGTAAAAAACCAAAGGCTTGGTTTGGACAACTCTCAACTTGCACTATAAACTGCTTTTATAATGAAACAGTTTCACTAGTAAAGGAAATATATTTAATTTAATAATTATAGGAAGGATAATAGAACTAACAATAAACATTCAATAACTACACCCAAAATCTATTTTGAAAACCTATATGACCCTTACCCAGAGGATGTGGTAGTTGACTATTAGAAACTTGATAATGTTGAGGTGCATAAAATTTTAATAACTTGTTTTAAATTTTTTTCCCCTTTTCCAGGAGGAAGAAAGAGCATGTTCACCTGGAGCCAGAAGAGATATATGTATTGACCCGAAAACTTATTGCAAACTTGGACATTTTCATCTTCTGCTAGAGGACTATGCTAAAGGTTAGCCGCTAAAGTTATTTTGTCTCTACCTGTTCTAATACTCTGGTTTAACTCATACACAATGACCTGATACAAATCCCCAAAATAAGGTCTAAAATAGAGTTAGTGGAGATTGGTCATCGGTGACTGCTTGGGGATTGATCAGTTAAGTAGGCTAGCATACTTACTGAGTGTAGAGAACACTGTAATCATGAAAAAAACATTTATTGATGCGATTTTATTAATATCTTATTTTCCCTAATGTGGATAACAGAGTCACATTAAGTTTTATTAGCAGAGTGACACCATAGGCTGTGCTTACTCATCTTTTCAATATTATATAGACTTATATCCAATTTCAATAACCTATCTATCTGTAGATTTGCTTACTAGAGATAGAATTTTGATATGAGCTTCATACATTGTATTACATTACATTACATAGATAGATTGAAATTGAAACTGGCTGTTACATGATGTCAAATAAGTACTTAATTCCAATTAGTTAGTTTTTTTTTTGTAGGGCTATTGGTATTAATTTTATAAAACTTAAAGGTAAACTAATACATAGGAATTATTGAACTTGTCAGTCTATAAATAGTTGATCGAGGGTTATAGACAAGTTTCTGAAAAGTTTTGATGATGCTGTATGACTTAATGTATTTATCAATACAGTTTGTACTTATACACACAAATATACAATAACAAAGAAACCTTGTTTGAAAACATTAATTATTGAAAGAGTTTGTGTGATTAGCAAAAATTGAAAATAGAATCAATTTACAAATAGAAGATATGAATGTTTCAAGGTGTACAACAGTGACAACAACTGTCTCCTATGGGGGTAGGCAGAGACTATGGAACACCAATTACTAAAAATGTAAATTAAATAAAAAGGTAATCATTAAAAATATTCAGTTAATAATTATTCAGTATAACTCTGAAGTTTTTTTTTTATCTTTTAGAAATAAATGAATTCAAACATTTTCTTCTACAGTACACACTGCCAAGTATTGCGCAAGTTAGTTATTTGGAGACCATGCAGAACATCTGATTCTCCGTCTCTCGCAGAACAGTTAAAACTGTCAACCCTGGTTGCTATCATAATATCTGTGGTACATTCAAAACCCTAAATGACATATCTGACGGTAGAAGAATGTAGCGATTTGTGGTGTATGACAATATACTCGAGAGGCAACGCTAAAAAAGTTTTCAGTCTGAAGTCAGAATTTCAGATCAAAAGACTCGGGTTTGGACACTCTTTCATAACATCAATAATATTGAGTAGTTTTGTAAAGGGCAGATAGCAGTTTGCACAAAACGTTAATATCACGGTTCACTCATGTTTATGGATGCATGAATAATGAATACAATTCGTACCTAAAAATACACTTGTGTACTTAAAAATATTGACATTTAAATATCAACTCGAAAATCAAGTGGTCAGAAAATCCTAAAATAAAATTAGAACTTTAAAAATAGATTGAACTTTTAGGGAAATGTCAAAATAAAATACAAAAATAGGATATTTCACTGAGTATGGTCGAGTGGGTAGGTTAATTCCAAATTATTCAGGTAAATGTTACTTATCTATAATTAGAAGGTTTTTTTTATATTTGATGGTCCGACGTTAGGCCACTACCTTGCCTTTTTTTTTTTTAATGCGGGAAAGTCATCGAATGACTGCTCCCGCCTGGGTGAGGCGGAAGGGAGTGTCAGACTCTTACTGCCTAAAAACCACCCCGTTCCTTCTCCTGCACGTCGAGCCGGAGCCCCGGTTACCCGTTAGGTTCTCCGCGACTCCGAATCGGCATCGGCCCTATTGGGCCCCATCTGTGGTGGTCTGATAGGGCGATCCTCGCAGTGATGACACCCGGGCGTTTCCTCCCGCCCCATCAGACACAGGTACCTGCCGAAACTTCCATGTCCGGTGAGGACCTGCGTCAGGCGGTAGGTGAGGACGCCGTAGCGTCTCTCAAGCCACTCCTCAAAGAGGGGTCTTACCGCTGCAATGGCAGCGAGCCCAACTATCATGCCTAGGTATAAGCGGTGATGCGGTCTACGATGGATGGAGCACATCTGCCCATAAGCAACCTATCAGTCACTGCCTAGAAAATGTTACAAAACTGTAATTGTGTAAGTTATACACAAATTATTTTCTGTACTTCTAACGTGACCTTTGTTTTTTTTAACTGCTGAGTTAATGGCGAAGAGATTAATTGAGCACTCCTAATGGTAATAAAAATAGACAGTATGCAGTTTTAATCACGTATGTTCAAGCAAACAAACCAAGAAAATCTTAAGTCGTTCTATGTCACACAGCTTTGCATAGCGTAACAAATAACGGAGGTGTTTTATAGCCTGCAAGTTCCAGCAATACGACACTCCTAGAAATCCGTCTATAGACGCCAAACTAACGCTTAAAATAACACAAGTTATTCGAAAATACCAAGTTAAAATAACTTATTACAAAACATTGAAAATCATAAGTGTGGGAGAGCCATGCTTCGGCACGATTGGCCGGCTCGACCGGAGTGATACCACGGCCTTACAGAAAACCGACGTGAAGCAACGCTTGCGTTGTGTTTCGTCATGTGAGTGAGGTTACCGGAGGCCCAGCTCCCTCCCCTCTTCCCCAATCTCCCCAATCCCCGAATCTCCAACAATCCTCAAACTCCTAATCCCCAAAAAGTCGGTAACGCGTCTGGTGTTCCAGGTGTCCATGGGCGACGCCGATTGCTTACCATCAGGTGATCCGTCTGCTCGTCTGCTTCGGCGTGTGTATGCCATAAAAAAAATAGTTTTTGACGAGTTAAACTTTTTGACAGTGGACTTCGTTCTATCTGTATTATCTGCAGTTAAGATTACCTTAATTTTTTTATGATACTACGTCTTACTCGGTGTCATATTTGATCAAAATTGGTGCAGCTGTTTATGTGTCAAGCGTAATCAAAATATGCTTCTGTTGTTCGTTATCCAGCAAACTAATTAACAATTCGACACCAGTTCCAAATTAAAAGTTTGTAAATTCTCTCCTTGTAGTCAATTCTACCGACAGGAAGGTTATTTATTAGGCCTGGCCGTAAGCCATATTAATAATTGAAAGATAATAGGTGCGGCAAAATGTTATGCCAAGTAGTCGATCGATGAAAAGGCAAGTATCGCTAAATATTTAATGGTAAATACCCGCCTGCGGGGGTTTCGCACGAGTGCTTTTCCCATACTTTTCCTATGAAGTTGCCAACTTTTTCTTTCAATATCCAAGTGTTAGCATTGAAATTATGCACAAAACGCTTAGCAACACATTCATGGATTCATTTTTTCGTTTTGATTTCTATAAATAATAATTTTATTAATACACATAACATAACATAACATCACGCCTTTTATCCCCGAAGGGGTAGGCAGAGGTGCACATAGAAGTAACACCCACTTTTCACTATTTATGTTATGAGTCCCATGTAATAGGGGGTGAGCCTATTGCCATATACCGGGCACATTTCCAGACTCCGTGCTACTACTGAGATTTTTAAAAAACCCCAGTAATACTTTGCCCGACCCGGGAATCGAACCCGAGACCCCTTGCCCGGCAGTCGCACTTGCGACCACTCGGCCAATGAGGCAGTTTATTAATACACGTATGTATTGAATTTCTAATAATGGCTTTATGATACAGGTCTTTCGTATTTTTGAATGTACTATGTAGTTTCATTATCAACAATCTAATTTTCTACATCAGATTCTTCTAATGACACATCAACTGCCAAACTAGCCTAAATATCTTTATGTTGTCTACTAAAATAGGAAACAGTTACTCATTCCTACACAAAATAAAACTAGCGTATGATGACGTAAGATATTGACGCAGCTTATCCCGATACGAGAGATCCTTTCTTAGAATAATGTGTAAACATAAATCTAGACTGCTCCTACACTCCTACAGTTGTAACCTTGACCGTTTATTAAGTTCAGCTCTTGATTGAGGTCTCTTGAATGTTTACAAACTTTTCCGAGAAAACAGTGTCATATCGTAAGTCTTAAGTTTACTACAGGAGTTTTGAGTTATTTATGGAAGAATGATATTCATTTATAGGCATGTTTTTTTCTCTTTGCGTAGTGTATTTTTAGTAAACTATTATTGCAGTATGTTCCCTCATCAGCGACATAGCATAAGACGTCCACTGCCGAACATCGACGTCATTAGTCTCCTCTCCTCTAATAGATCTGTGGTTAATTAGTTATGCATATTATTCTATTCTCTTTCTTGATTCTGCCTCATTCAAGCTTCACCGCTTGTGAAAACCATAAGGTGAAAACCTTCATTTCATCTCATAAAAGATGAGATCTCATCTTTATTATATTTTATTTCTATGAAGATATCGCTTTACCTTTTGGAATCCAAGACATCGTTAGTTATAATTACCCAATTTCAAAAATTTGTTCAGCTTGAAGACATCGTTTTTACCTTATTTGGATAACATTGTAATTATAGGTATATTATTTTACTATTTAGTTACGCCCCAGTTGCGTAAATTCTCATTTTGGTATAATAGTAAATTAAATATAGCCGTTATATTTATTAAGCGGACAAGGTCTTACTGATCAGGAAAATTCTTTATAAAATAAAGATACACAATAATCTATGGTGATTATTGTGTCCACGTTATTGACTGATGGAATTGTAAAGAATATTGTATACGAGTAAACAAACAGCATGTTTTGATAATATCTTTATATTTATGAATCGAAATGCAGTAAATTACTATTCATGGCTGATATTTAAATATTTGTATCGTGTATTAATTCTAAAAATAGCATTTAACCTTTTAAGACTGTATTTTCCAATGATTTTCCTCTAATTATTATCTAGGCGAAATTCCCCAGTTGCAAAACATTTATTCTGCAAATTGTGGTATTCACGTAATACATTTTGCCAAAAATAAATATCTCAATTTTAAGTAATTTAAATATAATAATATGATTTCTGTTAGTTGTTGTAAAGTATTAATTATTTGAATCACCATTATGTGTGTACGTCATACAAACCTGGTATAGTGGCACAGTTGATGACCTAACGTTTATCATACGGTCATTATCCATTAATGCTGAATATTTTAACATTTAAAATTTTTAATTTTCCTAAACAGGATACTTTTGTCAAGGTAGTTGCTGTCTGTCTGCTTCTAGTTCAAGTGTTATTTCATAGATGGCGCTGTCTGTATTATACTATGATTGTATTTGAAAACGCGTTGGCTCTTCCCCTACGCGGTTAATTTCCCTGTTATCAAGTTGGTAAATTCGTGGTTATCCATCAAGGTTAACCATAAAATATTTTAATTTGAGTGTAAATTGTCGACATTATTAATACCTACATGAAACGAAAATTTTAGGTACTTATACATACAGTTTGACTTCTTAAAAGAATGAAACAAATACCCTACATATTGACAGAGTATAAAATGTGTAATTATAATTATCTACAAGAAAATAAGGGGCAAAACTTGTTCGTACATTTACTTAGGTACCTAGTACATACTTCACGTGGTTTTCATACAAACACAAAACACACCTTTTAAATAATAATTGGCTGTCCATTAGATGATAGGAAATAGTTACCAGCTGCTCACTTTAGAAACGTAAGTTATGTTTTCAAAAAGGCAGATGTGTTGCTCCAAGACGGTAAAATATACCCAGTATAAAATATCAATTGTGTTTTAAAGATCTAGCCGACGAACAATAGGGGGTGAAACCGGTTTCCGTGACATTGATTTTAAATTAGTCTGTAAATAAATCGTAAATTTTAAATGTGCATTTAATTCAATTACATAAAATTCAAATTAACATTAACAATTAGATGTTACATACATTTACACAAATTAAACAATTACGTACGTTTTGACATTGATTTAAATTATTTTTTTCTTCTGTGGCCTTTTTGTCTTCAAATAAGTACAGTCTGCACAATTATTTGGTATGCAGGTACTAAAATAACGATTGAATAAATAATTGTTCAAAAACAGTGACCATTAGTTGTTTACTAAGCTGACCAATGGCTACAAAAATGTAATTTAGTATAACAATAGCTAGTCTCTAATCTTTATATTCATCTACATACCATTTTCAAATGGCTGTGCAGGCTGTACGTCTGTAGTTTTAATTTCCAGTACGTCCTGTTCCGTCTTCATCTCTCAGTTGACAATAAATGTAAATGTTACGTCTATTTTGGGTTAAGCGTTCATTTCAATGGGTATTCATATATCAGGACGAGCTTTAGCTAAACAGTAGGGTTGCTAGGCACCTTACACAGTGTATTCAGTTTTCTCTGGCTGTATCATTTTTTGAACACCATTGTAAGACAAGCCTGTTCGAGTAGGTACTGACACTACCCACTACCCAATGACTTTGACATCGATCGAATCGAACCTTATTTTGTAGCAGTTTAGGTCGACTGTACTGGAAGCCATATAAATTATAAATTCGTAAAGATCGTTTTAATTAATTATATTTTAATGCTACTCATTACCTACGTACTCCGAATTGATTGTGGAGAATGAAAAGAACTAACTAGGAATTATATTAAAAAAAACTTAGTCATATATTATTTTTATTTTGCAGCAATGTCAGCTTATCAAAAGTTCTATGCTCTGGAGCCTGACAACTGGAAGGACCCTCTGTTCCTGTACGGATTGGGGCTATGCTATTACCACTACAATGCCTTTGAGTGGTAAGTTTTTTTAAGAAAATATCTAGCTATGTAAAACAGTTGTACGGGTTTAGTTTGCCCGTACACTACCGTTAGTTGGTTTCAGTTGGTTGAGTTGATTGTTGAGTGTGGTGATGAATGAATACTCTTCACTTGGTTATATAGAAGGTTTATTATTCACCAGTTACAGTTTAGTAATAGTTTTAATGATTCTCACAGATACGCTTGTGTTGCGTTGGCAGTTGTACACACACTGAAGACCGTTTTAATAATTGTTACGAACTAAGTGAAACGACCGATATGCTTACTTAGCTTGATGTCGCGACACGAATGTACGTAAACCGTACAAGTATTGCGGGCATTGTTGCGTTGTTTTCGTGTTATAGCATTTTTTTTTTTATTTAAATTTTTAGGGTCATTTTTCCTCACTAACAGCTGTCATGGCGGAAAAATATAAGTTAAAATTATTTGATTTCTGTTTAATATTTTATTATTGAGGCATTAATTCTATTCAACTAAACAAAACGACAAAGTCTACTAACTGCCTCCTAACTTTTATAATATCGTGCATTTGTACAAAAAGTGTTAAACAAATAAAAAAATAAATAGAAATAAATAAAAATATAAGGTAGTTATGCGGATGCCAACGGGCTAGTGCCTAATAAATAAACTACTAACAAACATAAAAAAAATCCTAAACGTTCACGTCTCGAGCTGCTGAAATAATTTTACAAAGATTTCAGTCGGTACAATGTTTAATATTCTTCTTAAAAGCAATTCACGCCATTACAATGTATAAATAAACTTTTCCAAATGTGCGTCAATGGAACAAAATCTCGTTTAGACTAGAATAAAAATATGTATGTGTGTTATGTAAATAGGAATGTTAACGAGCTTTCCGTGTTTCGTTTCATCACATACCGGACGGACGTCGCTTCGGGAATATCAAACTTTTATAATAATTTCGGTCGAAGCAAAAGCACCTCAAGCTGACTGTGGCCCGTGATGTAGACGTCGTGATTCGTGATTCACCGGACGTAGGACGAGCGCGCAAAGCGGCGGGCGCGGGGAGCCGCGCTAGGGCCGGCGCAGGCCGCGCGGGGAGCTACGTGCGCGAGGGGCGCAGGGCGGTCGGCGTGGCGGCGCGCGGCGCGGGACGCGGGACGGTGCACGCTGCAGCGCGAGGTCGTCGCTCGCTCGCTCACGCCGCGGTCTGCCAGTCGGGAGCGGGATGCGGTGACGTAAACTGCATCGGCGCGGGCCGCGACACCGTAGTGTAGGACGGGACGAATCGTGTTCGTATGTACCGTGTGCGTGCTGAACAACCCTGTGTGACCGTGTGCTTGTGCTGTTCTCGCTGACGACGTCTCCGCTCTTCACTACGTGGGCCGCTGCGGCCGCACCGACCAGCAACGGATACGAAGATCCCCGAAATGGTGAGTGCGGTCGAAGCTCCCAGCTCGCGGTTTGTTTACGTCGGCCCTCGTGCCAGCTCTCTCTCTCCACCTGCCGCCCGTATCCCTGCGTCGCGTTCGCACGCGACTCTTTCTATTGTGTTTTGTTTCCGAAATGCAGACACCAACGTCGACGGCTCCGGACCAGGTCCCGTCGAGAGGTCTCGTTTTTGTTCGTTTCAATGGTTTTTGCATGTTTTTTGTAGTGTTTTCGCAGGTAGCTGTGCTATTCTTCTCATTCTTCCGGGGATTCGTAGCGCAATATGGACATCAATAAGAAAGAAGGGTAAATAGTGTCAGGGGTGGGCAGTGCGTGTGTTAGCTAAGGCTAGTAAATAATGAGTATGCTGCCGCGCCGCATAAAATGTAGGTCGGTGGAGTGTGGCCGCAACACTGCCGCACGCGATGCCTCGCCTCACCCTACACCAGGCCATGCTAACCCATTGTGTACATTGCCAACCACTTATCAATCACTTGCATTGCGTACCTGATATCAACTATCAATAATGTATACAAATACGACCCGATTTTGTATGGCTTGGTAGTTTACTGACCTGTTAAACTTATAAACGTGTAAGTTGCCACTAATATTAATTAGTATTTACCTAACCAGCCAAAAATGGACTTAAAACACTTTTCGTCATTAGAAATCGTACGGTACAAAAATTCCTGTGATAACTGATGAGTAAGCCTTCATTACTAAGTTATATAATTTAAATGATTTGTGCCTACTGGAAAATCTGTGAGTCATGACTTCATGACGAATGAGTAGAATCCGTTGTCTGATAGCCATATCAGTAAATTCGCGCACTTTTGTCTTGCGTCATTGGTCATTGAACAGGTAGTGGCGACACGCTTCGGATATTTAATGAGGCAACATAAGACACCGAGCCGGTATTTCAAATTTCCTATACACTGGAAAATCCAATCCACGGCTAAATTGTTCCGCTGTAAGGACTGAATAATTGTACTTCCTTGTAGCGAGTCTGTTTATAATATTCTCATAGGATAACATAACTTGGGATTTCACGCGATAAAATTATTATTACGCTGTTAAAATATACCTTCATAATAATTTTAGTTAATCCCAGTATGTGTAACCGACCTTTAAATACCTACATTTGTTAATATGGAATTACCGGCGTTTGTCTTCCAGTAATAGTTTAAAATGTTTGCCATTCAAAGCAAAATATCACAGTATTTAATTTTGAAGATGACGCAAAAAATATCACAAGTTACGTTGATATCTTTGGTAATATCTAGTTACTATGTTTTTATCTCATTCATCAGCGGTATCGTAATAGTTATCACGAATCATATTGGCTATCAGTCGCGGACCGGTCTGCACATTATCTACGCAACGCCGCTAACCGCTTCCAGTAACGGTATTCCACTCTCTGGAGTCCTCCAACAACTAGACTTGCTAGGCCCGTTTCGTAAACTTGTTCGTCGATATGCTCGCCTAGTCCTTTTTTGTAAATCTCCCGGAAGTGAGTTTAAAACAAGTTAAACTTCGAAGATTTGAGAAGCATCCAATGATCTTTTATGTGGCCTAAGTCATTTGCATAATATTTAAACAAGTATAATTTTCAAACTCGTTTTATTAAGTCTGATGTTACCTAGTATTGATTACATTAACAGTAGTAGATAACATAGCTGTATTAAAGTATATTTTTGTATCTTCTTCAACCTATTGAAATGTTGAACCAGATCCTGTATGCCAAAAAAAGTTTGGAATCCTCAACCAAAGACATTTTTAAGAACAGCTCGTTTTGCTTGGTGAACCACGAGTTTATATGCCATAATCAAATTAAGTCTTATTTTTGTTTTGCCAAGGGCACATTGCTATTCATTTATTCTGGATAATTTGGAATATTTCAGTATGTAGTAGACTCGTGGCCGAGTTTCTGCGTATCGAACAATATTACTTACAATATCAACAGTTACAATAGTACAGCCATTGTAATTTACGACAAGTTAAATTCTTGGTATAGTATATTATTAAGGGGGTAGCATAATATTGAGTAAGTTATTTATCCCTGATGGGTTGTTAAATAATTCATTGCATTATGTAATGAATGGAAGTCAGCTGCCGCGGCTAGCGGCTGGCAGGTAATGTCAGGCTCGTGCCTCGTGGCTAGGTAATGTCAGGTCGTTGAGTATAGATGGTGATGTAGTAATGAATGCTATGTAATTGTTAGAGCAGCTTGCGGTGGCGCGTGCCGGGCAGGTGCCTGCCGGCTGCTACCACACCTGTCACGACATCAGCTGCTCCTTCAGCTAGTTATTATATTGTTTAGCTACTTAACACGACGCACGACTTGTATCCGTCTTCACACAAAGAAACTCGCAATACCTTGCTCATTCCAACTCATCAAAGTGACCATTACCCAACTGTCACGTTCTTTCATTGGTTTTTACAATGCTATTGCAATATACTTCAGTTTACACGTGTTGGACGTGGTTAACAACTATTTATGTAGGTACTTGAGCAGATAACGCTCAGTACAATGTTGCTCCAAGTACCTGCATAAGTGCATATAGAAATCCAATAATGTTGCAGCGTTGAGTTGAATTAGCAACATCACATGCAATGCAAGTCTCAGCGTAGCTCGGTGTGCTGATAATATTGTTAGGTTTTACTACGCACTCGTAGTAAATAAACATAGTGTGCGTAGAAAGCGATAAAATTTCTCGACATGTTGGCCTGCTCGCTAGTTTGCGCAGTAATTGCATTCGGCAGTTAATTTCACCATTACCGGCAGTAATTCGCCGGCAGCGCATTCTGTATCCTGTGCTAGAGAGGAGTTCAACTAAAATGTATATACTTAGTAAGTAAGCTAGGTAAATAGTCCGTACGTGCGACTTACATATAAATGGGATACAGCAAAGAGGAAGTCTTATTAGGGCCAGTTGTATGTATATAGCAGTCGATAGCCGCGCCAGTGTAGTTACGTACCGTTGTTGTTCGAATGTATGATGAATACTGTGAACATCCAATCACACTTATTGTTGATGCATACCCATCTCTAATTTTTATACGATTTTAACAGTCGGTCTAGGATAACTTTGTGATAATATGTATTACCAACCAGTTATCTAGTCCAGTATCAGTTGCTAATGCTATAAACAAAATAATTTAATATATTGGTATAAATAAAACATAGCAAGTGTTCTGAAGGTTTTGTGAAATCAATTCGATATTTTATAATATTCTGAATCAACATTTATTTATAGATACTGAACACCTATCTACTTTGTGACCATTTAATTATGTCTGATCAAAAAACGCACGTCCATTTATGTACATCCTCGTGAAAATATTACGTCAAAACGACTGTATTATTATTTTGTATGATGTGGGAGTCATCGTGATCTGTTGAATGCCGCCTAGCAACAACATAGAGTGGTGAAACCGGAATTTGACAGCGTTTCTCATGCTTGCTTGTGATATTATGTGAAGTTACTGCCAAAGAATATAGCGGTACATGTATATAGTTTTATCTATGTAAATGAGCTTACAACAGGACTGACTAGTATTAGGTTCGCAGTAGAGAACGCGGACGC